CCGCGCATATCAGAATACTTTGATGACTTTATTCCGTGCGGTTGCAAGAGGCCTCATGAGACTGGAAGTTTAGAATCATCCTTGGTCGCCAACGTCCAAGAGGTTGAGCAAAGTTAGCTGTCGTCCACAAATTTGTAATGTGATGGTTAGAGAGATTGTGAGTAGTGCAACACTTGAGTCACCAAAGAACAGCACCTACTGCTGAAAACCGTCGTGGTCTGATAACATGTTGTGCACCCGATCATTTTTTGCCGAGGAACCTGTGTTTTATAAGCCGTGGCTGTAGTGAGTAAAACCGGAAGGACAATGAATAATGAGTAAATTGACAGGTGACAATAAAAAGGGTGCTAAAATCCTTGGTTCCATAGATATAACCCACCATTTAAGATGGAACACATGTTAAACAAACGCAAAACAGTAAACGACATGAAAGCATACCAAAGTCATATATGCTTTCCCAATTCTTATCCAGATTATCCGGTCAAGCAATATGGGCACGGATAAGCTAACGTTGGGCACTTTTTCAAATCACCCGTTTTCATTAGATTACACAAAGTTCTCCAGATATATCTACATGATTGTAGGTGAGAAAACCATCGGCGCAATGAAAATGGTACTGACAGCAAGGGTGCGAAAAGGAGAACGGCCTTAGTCTACATGCTAGAACCGGTGAATGGAGCTACAAAGCTTGATAGCCAGCTTTACCTGAAACTTTACATGAAGCGTTGAACAAACATTTCAGCTACGTCGCTGATGAACAAGTAAAGCTTTTGATGATGGCTCCGACAAAGCCACCGAAGCATTTGACGTATCTGTTCTCACTTTATTTAGACTATTTCGTTTATTTTCAATATCCTTATCCTCTCATGACAAACCACATTTGGTTGTCGGCTTGAATGATTACTAGATCAAGCAACCAATTTATTTGACACCGCAAACGCGATTTGTGATGCTCGCTTCCTGTCTCTTAATACCACAAACACATTCGTGCCTTCCATACAGCTTAGGGGGCTTTTTGGGTTAAATTACCTTTGTTAAAGCATAATTTTCCAAACAGTGTTCAGTTCACTATGGCCAATTCACTTTTATTACTTTTGATCCCATCTGATAATATCTGAACCGTCAGGAAAATGTGTCACTAAGAAGTATATACCCTTTTCACGTCGGTGAGGCAGCCTTGTAATACGTACGGGGGTGAATAGCTCTACACATTCAGCCAACTTACCCTAGACAAATGTTCTTCAAGTTTGCCCTTAGCATCTCTGGTCTCGGTAATACGTTTTTTCAGCGCCCGATTTGTAGCCTCCACTTGCCTTTTCTGATCTGATGCGATTTGCTGTAAAATTCCATCAATAATGCTCCGAAGTTGTTGGGAGTTTTGAAGCTGCTTGTCTCCAGCCTGAATGGTGTTGTGTGAGAAATGTTGCCATTCTTCTGTGGTGAAGGAACTTGAGTGAGGTCCTACCGGCCACTTCTTGAGACTTACTTAGGATCAATCAGTGTTCCACTTTTCAACCCCGGAAGCGACTCGTCTGTGCTCTTGAGACTCAGAGCATATTCATCAATATGTTGTGCGCTAAGTTTGTCGCCGGCATCCTTCTTCAAGTTATAAATGGCTTTCCGATTAAGTCTGAAAATTTTGAAATGAAAAGTGTGCGGAGCACTGACCTGCAGCTGAACAATTGAATCCAGGAATTTTGTGTCATTCAAACTGGGTCCCACAATGTCTTGATTCGATGGCTTTCAGTTTATTACCAAAGTCTCGCTTTTTGTTGGACAAGTAAACAAACGAAACCCAGAGAGAAATTTGTGCTCAAGTCACGGCAATAATAGATAACTGTTTTTTCATAGCTGAGGTTTCTCGTTTTGCGTCATATTAGGTTAATTTTTGAATCTAGTGCCTAAGGTGCTTTGTGAAAAAAGCTACATTCTCTTGTATTCAATGAAGCTCACATCTGAGTTTCAGCATTTACAGATGCAGACGTTTTTAGATACCTTCCATATAAATCACTGTATTGTTTTTTAAAGTTGAACTACAAAATGAACAATACAGACAAATTTGAAATTGACTGAATTTGAGCCACTCTGAATGATGTGCATTTGGAAACCTGAAATAAATGTGTTTCTTTCTAAATGGATATAGATAAAACCACACTTCAAAAAGTTTGGTATGGGATGAATCACGTTCATAAAATTCCCTACATGCCGCGCAAAAATCTGAAAAGATCGTTGTGTAGGATGCAAACAAACCGGTAAATTCTGAATAATGAACCAGTTGCAGAACGTTTGCAAAGCATTGTTGGAACAATTGTCGGAAGGTCTGACAAAAACAGAGCTCTAAAGAAATACCAAATCACTAGGTTTAGCGCAGATGATACAAAGTCAGTCTTATTTTCTGTCACTTCAACATGCGGGCACCATGTATCTTGATTATTTCCATTTCGCTGTAGGGCTAACTGCCCTATGACTTTTTGAATACAAACACAAAACATGTATTTACTGAGTCTATTTTTTATCCAACAGGCTTATCCCTCGAGAACAAGGCACAAGCGTAGCCAAGCACAACATAGGTCCATGGGCATGCTAATTTGAACTGCCACAAGTGACAAAACAATCTGTTGAATCTAAAATATCAACATAATAATTCCTACAAAGAATGAAAACCTAAGACTTGTTGTATGGTGTGATACAAACAACCACGAATTGCGATCCGGCATTCAAGGTTACTGGTAGCAAGAGGTGGTCGCTACTTTGCCTAATCGCAAGTAGGCGGTCGTCGTACATATTACTCACATCATTTTATACAATAACATCACTGTCAAAAACTGTACATATGCAAGTTTAGAACATTATGAAAGCGTTATTGAAGCCCATGAGTCGACTTAGCAATAACTCATAAGGCAATAGGCCCGCCGCCGCATAATATAACTAGGACGCAGTTCTGACGATGTCGCGCATATAACGTTTCACTGACGTTAGAATCTTGGTCTGAATCGCTGCCCACGTAGACAAGTAATAGAAGAAACCAAGCGCGCTCTCCTCGGACATATTCTGGAATTAGATAAGGTATCGAAAAACACGCTCACTTGTACATCAGTTTGGTTTTCACGGGTGACTGAACTGAATGTAGCTCTTACGATGTGAGATATGCATCTCCTGTGAGAATCTACC